TTATTAAATAAGTATATGCATTTAATATTATGAATCTCACATGATTAAAAAAATTAATAATTTAAATTACATGTCAAGCTATATCAAAAAATAATTAAAAAAACTATTTTAAAATTATTTCTCATATAAAAATTAAGATTTTTAATTTTTAATTACAAATATAAGTAAATGTACTTTTATATTAGATGGTTGATAGTACTAACAAAAATTATTATTGGATCGTGAATAACTGTAAAAACAATAATTAATTATGTACTCTATTTTTATGGGCAGATGGGATCGAATATGAAGCCGACCATCTTCAACGAAAGAGTAGCAACAGCATTGAGGAAGTGGCATCACATGGCCAAGAAACACATCAAAGAGAACAGAGGGTCGGTGACCCCAATGTCGAGCAGGCCCACCACCCCATCACATCATCACATGTCCCCAGTCCACCTTCTTAGACACTACCGGGGTGAAATGGACAGCCTCCAAGTATCTCCGAGAAGGACGAATTTCGAGGTAGATCATTCGGAAACTGATTCCCCGTCTTCCTCACGCCCAAATTATGGTGAAGGTTCGTCCTCCCATCGCCACAATAGAATGGAAAGTGGTAATGTAGAACGTGAGAGGGGTGCAAATGAGCCGAGCTCGAGTAACGAACAAGGTGCGGCCGAGCAACACGAGATTGATATGCGATCTCTGGAATTTTCGTTTGATAAAAGACAGAGCAAATGATTGGTTATGGGTGGGACAACTTTACTTTGCATCCCCGGTTAACTACTTTAATTTCTTCTTTTTTGAGAAGAGGTAGGGGGGTTATGTTATTTGGACAAATTTAAGGTTCTTTTATATCATTTGTTATGTGAATAACTGCCCCAATAGAAAAAACCCTTGTGGTCCAAGCGGTCACTTAACCATTGGTTAAAAGATATTTTACTTTGAGTGTGGGTTCAATCCTCATCCCTTCTTATATTATCTCGCTGTGACTGTAACTGCTGCTGCCAAAAAAAGTAGTTTATGGATTGTACCCTTATTCAAATTCAATACCTCCCATTAACAATTTTAATCTTATTAACCTCTAACCATTGTTTTTGTCAAAAAAAAAAAAAAAAAACTGCTCCAATATGATATGAGGGTCAAAAATTGAAAACATTACCAGAATATAAATTCAGCCTCATCTACGATGCTACTGGTTTTCTCTTCTTCATGTCTTTATTTATTTATTGAACATGGAGAATTATCAACAAATAAAAAATTTTTAAATGGTCTATGGGAATTAAACTCTTGGCTAACCAAATCTAAATATTAAAATTAAAGGAAAGCTATTAGGCCTATAGGACCCATTTCCTTCTTATTGTCCCTATTTCTGCCGCCCTATTCAGTACTTTCATTATTTTATAAATTGAAAAAATGTTTTATAAGAATAATTGTATATTAAAATGACACAATTCACTTTATAAATTTGTTAAAATATTTTTAATGAAATAATATAATAAAATCATCTTAATAAAAGTATTTTAATAAATTTAAATGATAAATTACACTTCAATTACACAGTATAGACTATATGATTTTTTTTTTTTAATAGGGGGCCAATGGAAGAAAATTAAGTAGCATTGGGCCCTTCCTGTAGTTATGGCTGAAAGCCCAAATTAAACAAGGAAAAGAATAGGCCAGCATATCAAAACGATGAAAAGGAAGTGAATGGGCTCTGCCTACAGGCCCAGATGTCCAGGCACAAGCATAACCCTTATAACGCATTCGTCAGGAATTATCAATTACGTGGTGAAGAATGGAGCCTCAGTTGCTTTTATCGGCAAGATCACAAGTAGAGATTTAAGGGCCGCGACTTATGGAAGAAGAAGATTTTCCAATCTTTCAGGAGATTTGCCTTTTCATCCGCTTTCTCTTCTATTTTTCTTCCTTGTCCTTCGCTTTTTTTTGAGACAGAAGAATTATATATTTACTCATATCATCTTAAAGAGATAATGATAAAGAGAAAATTTTAGTAATAAGTTAAACAATTAAAGTTAATGGATAACAAGAGGGTTAAAATATAATAAAAATATTTGTCTTTTTTTTTTTAAATAAAAAAATAATTAATTTTAAACAAATTTTGAGTCAAAAAATGAAAATGAAGGAGTAGTAATACTATTAAGAGAATACTATGCTAATGATTTAAATAATTAAGTAGTTAT